CCAAGAACATTAAAATTGGACCTCAAATGGCCCCTCAAATCCCCAATTTAAACTCTCCAATTTCAAGCCCTAATCCCTCAATTTTAACCCATAAATCCCACTAATTTCATGTCTAATCAGTTAGAAATCACCATAGAATCGAGTATTGAGTTCAAAAATCTTACCTCCAAGTTTTACCCCTCGAATTCCTCTCAAAAAGCTCCAAGTTCGAACACAAATGGTGAAATAAGGCTGAAAATCGCGAAGGGAAGCTTTTATAGTTTCTGCTCTAGGAATTCCGCACCTGCGGTCCCATAAGCGCATCTGCGCTACCGCTTCTACGATAATTCTGCGCTTCTGTGGGTTTCACTTAAGGGGACCAACTTCCGCACCTGTGCCCCAGGCCTCGCACCTGCGGGCTCGCAGGTGCGGGTAATCATCCGCTGCTGCGACTAAGTCCGCTCCTGCGGTCCCCAATCCGCAGCTGTCGAAACAACAGAAGCAGTAAAATTCTGCAACTCCACTCCAATTCCAAATCTTCCGGCACCCATCCAAATCCATCCCGAGGCCCTCAGGATCTTAACCAAACATGCCAACAAGTCACTTATCTTCACTCAAACTTATACCAACCATAGGAACACTCAAAACAATGTCGAAACACCAAATCACCCTCGGATTTAAGCCTAAGGATTTCCAAACTTCCAAATTCCGCAACCGATCTAAAAACCTATCAAACCTCATCTGAATGACCTGAAATTTTGTACAGATGTCACAAATGACACAACAGACCTACTCCAATTTCCAGAATCTTATTCTGACCCCGATATCAAGATTTTCACTACCGACCGAAAAACACCAAAATTTCAGTTTCGCCAATTCAGGCCTAAATCTACCACGGACCTCTAAAATACATTCCGATCACGCTCCTAAGTTCTAAATCACCTAACGAAGCTATCTGAACCATAAAAACCAAATTTCGAGATCATTTACTCACAAGTCAACTCAACTTCCGGTTGATTTTTCCAACTAAAGCTTCCAAATAAGAGACTAAGTGTCTCATTTCACTCCATGACCACTCCTAAAACAGAACAACTAATACGATGTGATGAAATACAACTGAAACAACACATAAGGAAGCAGAAATGGGGAAAATGGAGCGGTAACTCATGAAACGATCGGTCGAATCTTTAAAACATCACACTTCTTGGGGAATGACCATTTTCCGTAACCGGATTGAAATGGTCCCCACAGACTTAATCTTTGAAGTGCTTAAATAACGTATCGTAGGACAAGTCTTGTATAACGTGGTTACTAAAAATAATTTTGCGTATTTGACCGTTGCTTCCTAGTATTGGAGCAGTATATACTGAAACGGTCCCCACAGACTTAATCTTTGAAGTGCTTAAATAACGTATTGTGGACAAGTCTTGTATAACGTGGTTACTAATGTTGCGGAAGCCAAATGTATATAGTGTGAATAAGTCACAACTACTATACCAAAAATTATGACAGCCACCAAATAATAAATAAGACAATAAAACAACAATAAAGGAAACACCAGAATTTACGAGGTTCGGCTAATTTTGCCTACTCCTCGGACACAACCAATATTTTATTCCACTCCAAAAATACAAGTGAAATAATACTAAAGAGAGAAGATACAAATGCCTTAAACAGATGAGAAGGCAAATGAGAGGTGTGT